GCCCTCTCTAGCCAGCGTCGTGTGCGCGGTAGGTGCGGTGTGTGCTAGGCAAAGCAATGCACATCAACAAACTCATCAGAGGGTGACGGATGCCAGAAGGTGCAGAAGCCTTCCAAGCCGGCAGTTGAAGTGCAGGGGAAACCCGGCGGTTGCGCCATCCACGCCGCAGTTGAGGGTGCGCAGGGGGCGCAGGGGTCACACGCAACATCCGCGCAGGTTGCCTGCAGCCAATGCAAAGGGATCGCCACCGTGGTGAACACATTGGATGGCATGCTGTGGACAGAAAAAGGCGGCGCGATGTGGCTGAAGCCCACACGAAGCTTCCGAGATAGGAGCAGCATACCCACAACAAAGGTGGCGGGGGAACTGCAGTGGCTTGCTTGTGTGGGCTTAAAGTCTGGTAAAGCAAGAACTAGCTTGCAACATGGTGGCACTGTCGTGCAACCGGCGTGGGTTGTAGATTACGGCAAGCCCAGCTCCCTTGCTCACCGGTTGGGTCTCGATCCAGGTAGAAACTCCAGAGCTCCTGCAGCGCAAGGTGCCCGTACCGCACTCAGCACAAGTGTGGCGCATTAGGGCACACGCGCGCGGGCACTGATGTGTGCGTCCGCAAGAGGCATCTCGAGGAAAAACGATATACAGCAAGACGTAATAGCTATGAAATCACCATGGCAACCAATTGTCAGGGCCCGCGAAACTCCTGCAGCGCAAGCATTCACTATCGTGCTGGGCGCAGCTGTGGCAAAGGCATGCGGGCGAGTGTGTGCTAGCAGATCAGTTCCTGCATCAGCAAGACACATTTCCAGCACTAGACGGCAATGCTTGCCCTCCCAACAACTAGGATAGCCGGCAGGAAGCTGGATCCCCCGCTAGGCTCACCATAAGCGCGACTCGTCAAGGGAAAGGGAATTGTGAATTGCCGTAGCCACATGTGTGGCAGCCTGGCCAGAGGGAGCATTGTCGGACAGCCCGCAATACCACAATTGGAATCCAGGGCCCTGGTAGGTGGCTGGGAAGCACGAGCAGGACGTGGCAATGCCATTAGCTGTTTTGCATTGCTGGTCAGAAAGGTAAAGGTGGGGAAGAGCCTCCACAAGCTTCACTTCCCGGTTTTAACGTCTAGCTTTAGACCATTATTTGATCTGCCCGACGCGCCAAGTGCAGTACCCCCCACTAGTAGTGAATGGGTCCCGGGGAGGCCTGTTCCGAAGCCTTGGCGATTCTATTAGGCGTTCCCGAAGGAATTGGCTTGGATTGGCGCTGAGCCGGTCAGCTATGCCGCGTTTGTCCTCACAAAGTTTCGACATGGGAGGAATCGAACCTGTGCCCTCTCGGAGGGTTTAGACACTAGCTCCAGCGCCTTCAAAGAAGGCCTTTCTTAGCCGCGGCCAAATGCACGACGCAGTTGAGGGGAAGCAGGCCTCGCAGGCGCCGCACTCAATATCGTCACAGGTTGCCTGCAGCCGATGAATGGGGGGGTGGGGTGGGGTGGGGGGGCACCGGTAACAGACGGACAGACACACCACACTGGCTCACACACCATGTATCAGAGGCGGCATGATGCTGATAAAAGGCATGCGGTGTGGCCTCCAAGATGCTTACGAGACAGGACTTGCAGATCCAACACAATAATGTGGCTGTGGAACCGTGCCTCTGGCATGCATCTGGCATAGCAGAAAGACAGACAAGATCAACACCACTGCCCACCGGTCGGGTCTCAATCCAGGTTGAAAGACCAGGAGGCCTACAATGAAAGCAATCAG